TTAAAAATGGTGCTACTAAAGTATCATAATTATTTATAAAATTATAATTATTTATCTCTTGATTATATAAGGCTAATACAACATCAAATTTTTTTTTATAAAATTCATATTTTCTTTTCTTTTTCCTATTATATCAAAAGTTGTATCTTCAAGCAGATCTTGTAAGCTACTTAAATGAGAACTACCTTGCATAACAGAATCATTTGATGTTTCCACTACCTCTAATACTCTAAGTCGAATCCATGGATTATTTGCTGAAGCAATAGGTAGAATTTTTTCTTTACCAAAGAAGATCAACGGATAGTCATGTCGTCTTTTTGTTTCTAAAAATGTAAGTAAAAATTGTTTTCCATTCTTTTTATTAACAAGATGTTTGCAAAGATGATAGCAGCTACGTAAATAAGCTGGGCAGGAACAAACCCACTTATTTGTATTGATCTCATATCTATTTTCTGCATTCGATAAAATATCTGCTTTTGCTACTTTATCTCATTCCTTTTTAAAATCACGCCACCAAGATGGAAAAGTTCGATTTTTGTCATGCTAAACTAGTTTAATTTTAGAATCTGGAATTAGCCGCTCTGTTATAATTTGAGTAAGCCGTTCTATACGTGGACGATTGTAATTATACTTGTATTTATATTTGAGGACTCTTCAATGGCTTTCTGTAATCATTGTAGTACACTCAAAAGGCATGGCAAGTGAGTATGAAGATCGAGCAAATAATTTTCAATCTTTTTTATTATACCAGTTTACCCATAGATAACCCCATAGTTTAACTAGATTATTTGAATAACAAAACTGATATATCTCTTAAACACACAATTCATAGATTTTCCTCAAATTTATGTAAGTTCCTTTAGCTAATGGAATAAGTGGATGCATATTAGCATGCTTTTTAACCATTTCTAAAATTTGGTTAATATATTTATCTGGACAGATTGACCCGACTCCACCCTGAACCCATGAAGGATCGATAAACTCAAAACTCAAATTTACGATGAGCTTCTAATGCTTTAGTTGCTGAATATGTGCTTGATTTATACTTTTTATCTTTAATTT